CGACATAGCCCAACGGATTAGTAAGCTGAAGTGGCAATGGGCCGGCCATATAGCTCGAAGAACCGACAACCGATGGGGAAGAAAGGTTCTCGAGTGGCAGCCTCGTACCGGTAGGCGAAGTGTAGGGCGTCCCCCCACTAGATGGAGTGACGACCTGGTAAGATATGCAGGAAGTCGATGGATGCAGGTGGCTCAGGACCGTGCTTTGTGGCATTCTTTGGGGGAGGCCTATGTTCAGCAGTGGACTTGTGAAGGGTTGTAATGATGATAATGATGAAGCACCATTCTTTTATTTATTTAAATTGTTTGATTTAATTTGATAACAGTGTACCTAAATGTAAGTATCTGTATCTTTATTTCTCTCCCCAATAATATTTTATAAAGTCATACTTATAAAAACAGCGTTTTATTGTAATACATAATTACTCGTATAAAATTCATTATGAACTTATTAATAAAAATATGCAACAATAAAATTACATAGGTATTAAAAACGATCGAAATCTAAGTAACGAGAACATGTTCGTCGTTCCACATCTAAATTATATAAAAATGCATTTTTCAATTTCACTAATCAACGTCGCCGCAAAAATTTCTTCTTCTTTGGGCACTTTAAAAATTCATTTATTTAGAAAATAATATTTACAGTTACCAGTGTACAGATATTAACTAAATTAAGTATTCCTAGTCATAAAAATATTTATAATTGAGTATAAACTTTTAAAAAACTAATATATATTTGAACGAAGTCGCTCCAACACCGACGCGCGGTCCACCCTCGACGATGTCCGAAAACGGACTGACAGGGCGACGGAGCATGCGCGCTCGCGTAAATATATTCAAATTCAGGGAAAAATGATATATTCTCTTATAAAACGGGGAATAAAAATAAAACTCTCAATTAAAAATATTAATATTTTTAAGACCTTTTTTTTAGTGTAAGAACTATTTAAAAAGCTTGTGCCGTTTTGGAGAAATTTTGCAAAATATGACAAAGATAGGTACTCTTTGGGGATTTTTTTTCTAATAAGGGGTTGACAAAAATACAATTTTGTTAAATTAAAAACATCTACCAAATCTTCTTCTGTTACCTTGTATTTTTTTCTTTGTGGATTAAATGAACAGTTATTGAGATTTTTTTACTTAAATATCCTAGATTTAGGCATTTCAACCACTGTTAAGGCCTTAAGGCTGTGCACAAAGCAAAGCCACGATCAAGATGGAATTGAATTTTACTATAGTAAATAAATTTCAAAGCTGAAAAGAAGGGGCTTCTTCGGTTCCTACGGCGCCACGATTTAAAGACGGATTCGCATAGATCTCGACGAGATACGCCGAAAAGTAGGAATAAAATGAGACGAATTTAAATAATTTTTTTAAAGATGGTGAAGCGACTCAACAAAAACCGATTCACTCTTGCCTTGAAGACACCCAATTTATAATCGGATGGAAACACAGATGCTGACAACTTATGCCACTCCTTTGCTGTACGCATCATGAACGATGTAGTAAACCGTTTGGTTCGAATGCGCAGTGAGTCGACAACGAAAGAGTGGAGACGGGCCGAACGTCTGGTTATCCGATGGTGGAAGGCAGAGGGAGGAATTAAATTATGTAATACCTGCGCACACTCTCTAAAATGTATCCTGTAGAAAACCGAAAGCCTGGCTACTTTGCGTCTGTGTTCGAGGCTGGTAGGATTGATTTTTATCAAATTTGGATCACCAATAAGCCTCATAGCACGCCTTTCCATTGATTCTAAAGCTGCTAGGTGGTATTTTGTAGCACCAATACAACATATATAATAAAGCGGAAGATTTTTTTGTTTTTTTGTTTCTTTGTTTGTTTAAACGCGCTAATCTCTGGAACTACCAGTCCGATTTGAAAAATTCTTTTTATATATTATAGCCAGATTCATGTGGAATAGTATAGGCTATCTAGCATTAAGCTATATTACTCAGCTAGCCTTAAATATGGATATTTGTTAAGCAAGTCAGAAGAAAAAGCACTCCCGAAATGATTTATCCGCGTACGCTGGTGTTATCGTTAGGGATACGTAAATACAATGTTCTAGAAAAATATAGACCTTTACTCCGTCTAAAAAAAAAGTCCGCGATACCATTTGTCTATTTCTTATACATAAGCCATAATTTGGTATTTTGTGATAAAAAAAATATTGAAAATTTAAAAGTGATTTATGAGCCTTATTATTAGGCATGGCCTTTTTATCCTTACGAACGAAAGTTACTTCATCATCAAGACAATTTTATGAAGATAAACTTTGTTCTTTATACCATGTTATTTGGACGCATAGTTTAAGAGATAATGTGAGAAAATTAAAATAATTCAATACTTGGCTGGGCGCGCGAACGACACTTAAACCCTAGCCGTTATAAAATGCTTGAACTAGGTAGGAACGCACCTCGAACACGTGATGACGCGGGTGAAACCGCGGGGCACAGCTAGTAGTACATATAGCAGCAATACTCCATGCACGACCGGATTTGCGCTTTATATAACGTAAGCAGCTGTCCCGGCGTGAAGTATCGCAGCACCTTTGCAAGGACTCCTAGCTTCCTTGCAGCTGCTTTGGTCTTGGACTCAATGAACCGCCTGAAGTTCAGATTTGGGGATATCTCAACTGAAGGCAGTTTGTGTATTCCAGTGATACATTTCGGAAAGAAGGAGCCATGATGAGCTGACTCCTTTTCGCAATGAAGAGACACACTTATGTTTTAGAGGCGTTGAATTTCACAAGATTGGCATCGCGCCATTCGGAGACTACCTGTAGTGCGAGATTCACACGCTCTACCATAGCTTCTCTTTCGAACTAGATTTGATCCCGACTATCCCGAGGACTTAATATCTCTCCAAAATTGTGCTAGCGTCTGCATAACCATAGATACTGGGCATAAGCAGATCATTAATATGCAGCAAGAAGAGAGTTACGGAGTTAGTCATCATAGGATCGGATGAGCAGCCGTCGACGACGACCCGGAGAGACCGTTCACTCAGAATTTCCTTTGCCCATTCAATCAGACCAAGGGATAAGCCGTACGCTGGAAGCTTACCCAAAAGGTTAACGTGCCAAACTCTGTCAAAGGCCTCCGAGACATCAAGGGAAACAGCGATCAGCCTCCCCACTGTTCTCGAGTGCCTCGCCTCGTACATGTTGCCCAGCTGACCCGTATTGTCGGTCATTAAGGAGCTCATTCTATTCTAGGTATGCCATTTAGCGGGCGTTCAATATACGCAGCGTAATCTTGCAGAGTATGGAGGTAAGTGAGATTAGCTAATAATTAGCAGAGTTGGCACGGCTGTCTTTTTTTGGAACAGGCTGCACGTTGGCCAGCTTCCAGGATTTTAGACCTATTCCAGGCCTAAATAAGAGGCGGAACAAGCGTGTCAGCACAGGAGACAACCCAGGTTCACAAGCCTTTAGAACTATAGCTGGTATACCCTCTGGTTCACTAGCTTTGTTTACGTCTAGATACCGCAAGGTTGTAAGAACCTCCTTATCTGTGATACGAACCTCCGACATAGAGGTCCCGCAGTGAGATAATTTAGGTGGAACGTTGTTACCACTGTCCAGGCGTGAACAAGTCCGCTTTCTCTTTGGCCGTATGCGCAAGCGTGCCATCCGGTTATACCAGCGGAGACAGTGTTGGCCGACAGAAATTTGTCTCGACCGCTTTGGCGAGAGACCAAAAAGCTCTAGTGCAGGATGGTATGGCAGATAGATTTGCGTCAATATGTTTAGTGGGATCGAGATTAGTTTTCCGTAATGCTTTTTTGTAGGATTTGGCGGCATGGTTGAAATTTCTTTTCTTGGAGCTAATATCCGGGGCTTTGCGCTTTCGGGCGTCAACCCAGGATAGGTACGATGAATGCTTGCGCTTTTCAGCTTGGGCGCATTCAGCGTTAAGCCATGGGCAGCTTTGCTATCGGTGGGAGCGTCAGAAAAGGGGATAAAATACTCCCTAGATTAACGGAACACATCCATTATCGCAACCGCGCAGCTCGACGGATCCGCAGAGGAGAAACAGACCTTCCGCCAAGGACACGATGCAAAAAAGTGTTGTGTCTCATCCCAATCAGCTGACTTATAGCGCCATATTCGTCGAACACCTTGTAAATCGTAATCAGGTGAAGAATATGACGATACAAATTTCACCAGACAGTGGTCAGATGTACACAAAAGAGAGGTAACCTGTACTTCAGACCTGTCTGGCTCGGTAAAAAACGATACATGTTTAAAATGATATATGTTTTTATCATATGTATAATTTTTATTCGCGCGCATTCTGTGGAACGTGTAATTTATTTATTTAATTTTTTTTATAGGTTAAGGGTGACAAACGAGCACACAGTCCACCTGATGTTAAGTGGTTGCTGCGGCCCATAGACATCTACATCTATCCTCTATTACAAATCAAAATGCAGATGCGTTGTCACCCGTGAGGACTAAGATGGAATGCCTCATTTTAAGTAAAAAGGGCCTCCGGCCACCTGCACTCACCAAGCGAAACGCAGAGGTAAACCTCTACTTCACGCTGGTATTCTGTGAGGTCGTGATACCACCCCGGTTCGAGCCGGCCCATCCGTGCGACAGCAAAAGCTGCCGCGTGGCTCTACCACTGTAATTAATTAATTAATAATAACAACTCGTTTTCAAACTGTGTAGTGGAGGCGTAACATTGTACACTATCCCATATCGTCCCGTGGATGTCGTAAGAGGCGACAGAGAGAAACTGAAACAGGACAACTGTAGTAGTATCTTCATTAAAAAAAAATCTTGTTCTAACCCGCAGGCCAAGCGTGGCAACTATGTCGTAATTCCCCCTATAAGGCAATCTATAGGGGAAGCCTACGTTCAGGGGTGGGCTTTTATAGATTGTAATGGCATGCGTTTTCTTCGTTATTTTAATAACAATTGGCTTGTCAGAACTTGTCGTCTCGCTATTACACAAAGAAGAAGAAAAAAAACAAGAATACGTTACCTCGTCGTTGGGATCGTAGTACTGCTCGAGGTATGGATGAGCGAGGGCTTCCTCGACGGTGATCCGCTTGTGTGGATTGAAGGTGAGCATGCGATGCAACAAGTCCAACGCGCGCGGGTCCGCTCCCGGGAACAGATCCGCCCACGGCACGCGCGGCTTGTACGGCAGCGACTCCAAGTATCCACGAGCCTATATTGGGATATATACATATATACGATATAGTGATTTTAAGGCAAAGGTCACTATGTATACTACTAGAAAGGCTCTACTCTACGGCATTAATACATGGTAACTTCTCTTTAACACCTTTAGTCGACTATGGGCGGGCGTGAAGACTTGTTCTTGGTTTTGTAAACCGCGAACGTTATTTTTTACAATCAAACACTGATTTTGCTTAGTGAGACTAAGAAAATGCTGGCATTTTCACACTTTGTGAAGTTTATTTCAGATAAGTATGTAACTTTATTTCATATTTGCCTAAAAACAATAAATGTCGTAAATGAAAATACAATTGCGTGGCATGTTTACCGTGCCAGTTAAACGCCCCCGCCAGCTCCCCACGCGATCCGCACGTGTGATACAGTTTTTGTCTGAATTGCCAGTCTAGTATCCATAAAGACTTAGTGGCCCGATAGTCTGGCAACTGCGCTACGGGTTTTGAGTTCGAATATCACATGTTGGAACCGAAATATATGCAAAAAATTGTAGATTTTAGGGTCTGATCTTGTTATTATTGCGTAAAGCTGTATTTTAATTTCCCTCATAATAAGATATTTTAATCGAGAAAAGGCGTTAATATCGCCTATAGAGTTTGTTATGAATGTAGTATCGGATATTTAATCAAGAAAAGGCGTTAATATAAAAAAAAGAAAGAAGGAAAACCCCTTCCTTGATTTACTAACACTACATTCAAAACAAAGTTTTCATTGACATCGTTATCACTTCGGAATGAAATGCACACTACCCGCCGCTTTATTCATATATTGCTTTTTGGAGCACATTACAGATTTTGTGTATAAAAGAAAAATTTTTGGATAGGCTTTATAATGCTGAACATAGGTTAATATATATTCTACATAAATTTCATTTCATAAGCAACGTTTTAAGTGCTGATTTACCACGTGCACGGTCGTGAAGGAAATCATCGTAAGGAAACTCGCATGTCTGAGAAAAAAACAATTCTGATGACCTGAAGTCAACACGCATTGGGGCAGCACGACGGACACTTTCTTGCCCAAAACCCGAGACCCTGCCCGTCAGAAGGGACCTGTGATGCAACAGTGGTCCGTACATATTAAGACGTAACTTTAAGTCTGGGTGTCCTTGCTTTTGTCCGTTTTAAAATTGGTTTTTGATAGCCAAATTATTATATTCAATACTGAAAAAAAATTTTTAGATACATTCTTTCTCCTTACGATGTACACGGTCAATACACGACACAATACAATTATATATAAAATTTAATTATTATTCTAGACTGAAAAAATTACCGAACTACGTTCGATTTGCAATTTTTTACAAGCCAAATTTCATTTCAAACTAGTAATACCTACTCCTTTTATTCTATAAAAAAAAACAATTTATAAGTAATTCATTTTGGAATCGATTACACCCGAACGTCTTTTTTTCATTACATTTATTTAAAAAAAATATCAATTATATAAGAACTTATATAATTGATATTTTCTTACTTACATAAGACCTTATAGGACCTTAGACCTTAGAACTTATATAAGACTATAGTTACGCTTTTGTTTCTGTGTTTATTTCTCACTGTGTAAATAAAAAATATTTGTTCATTATTTTAAAATAATATTTTTGTGATTATTTTGTAAAAATCACGATCATATGCGCGGCCCCACTCGATATTTGCGACGATCGCTTGTAAGTACCTAATGCGCTTGGAACACCCAGCCTTAACTTTTTATTTGCGTTTCAGGTTAATCAATGAACAAGAAGAACTATTAGGAACAGAGCGCTTCAATTGATATTCCGTGCAGAAGTATGATCCTCCTCATTAAAATAAATTCTACACTGTACATAATATTACACCGGCAATATACACAATTTTGTCGCGTCTACGTTTTCTAAATATAAAACGTTTGCAACGTACTCATACATAACCAAAGGCATCTAAAGTATGAAATACGTCGCATGTCAATTTTGTCGATGTAATTTAATCAATTTTCGTAATTGTTTTAGCTAAGGAAATTACATACTTTTTAATCTTTGTAATATCATTATATCGTCAAGAGTTTCATCATATTCGAATAAAGATTAGATTAGGATCATAAATTAGATTTGAAGTCTCACTAGGACGTGACAGCTGATTACTTTCAGTTATTTCCATAGCATAATGTCTTATGTGATTTTACTACGGAGAAACTATTTTTGTTTAGTTTTGTTTTGTTTTTGTTTGTTTTGTGTGTTTGTTATGTAGTGTATTTGTAGTGTTTGTTTGTTTCGATCATAACAGCCATTTAACCTACAACCGAAAGAATCTCTTATGGAAATGTTTAAAGAAATAAATACATTAACTTTGGCCTCTCTGTATATTTACGAAAATTTAATGTATGTTCATCATTATCATCATCATTATAGCCCTTCGCAAGTCCACTGCTGAACACAGGCCCAAGAAATACCACAAAGCACGCTCCTGAGCCAGCTGCATCCATCGTCTTCCTGCATGTCTTACCAGTTAGTCACTCTATCTAGTGGCGGACGCCCTACACTACATCTACCGGTACGAAGCTGCCATTCGAAAACCTTTCTTCCCCATCGGTTGTCGGTCCTTCGAGCTATCCAATTAAATAAAAATAATAAAAATAAATAAAAAGTAGTTTTAATAAAAGTAATATACTCCCTGTAAACACTAGAAACAAACACAAGTTAGTGATACCAGTTAGTTATGGATACACCCCGTCCCTCTGTTTTAGACTAAAATATTAAAATATATAATATTGTATTATTTAGACTAAGCAATAAAACTAATGTATCAGCATTTCTATGTAAGTTCCTAGTACTTAGTTGATGAGTCCAATGTCTGCGCACAAACGGACTCTTTGAATATCGTTCATTATTAAAGCCACCTCCAAATCGGTCGGACATAGTAATCTAATTGTATTTTAGTTTTTAAAAACTCCTTTCGACGTTCCCGAAATTTGACTAGTTACACGACTCCACAGAGTCAGTTATTCATTCATGGGATATATACATGGAGTAATTCATTCATTTCATAAGGTATGTATACGCTTTTACAACAAAGTCCCAGAAAGTATACAGGAGCTCTTTATTACCAAGTTTAATTTTTTTACTAAACCTACACTACAAAAATATGGTTATTATAATACAAATGAATACATGGTTGGTAATAACTCCCTGGGAATGAGGTCATCGCTTCTAAGCTATTTTTTAAATGAGTGTTTTAAGTAATTACAATGTAAAAGTACAACCCACTTTTATTTATAATCTTAATTAGTAAAAAAGTAAAAAAAAATACTTTAAATATCAAATTATTTACTATCTATATTGATTAAAAAAATATTTTACTATATTCTATTCTATAAAGTACAATGAAATATTTCGTTCATGAAAAGAAAAGGAAGTAAGCTAAAAAAAATTAAGGTATATTAATTTTTAAATCTTTTTTCTTTATATTAACAGTAGAATTGTTGTAATTAGCTTAACGGAAAGTTTCATAGCTCTTGCCTTATTACACAATATTTATTATTCATAAGCTCACGGATCCGATGGAAGTTTTTAAGTAAGCTTTGTCCCATAGGATACTAATTTAATTGAAAATAAGCCAACATTAATTGAAAATGTCGCCGTTACGGTAATCGATTAGTACAACTTGACTGTCATCATCAACAAAAACGTCCCAATTTATCAACTGACTATATCACTTGAAATTTTATTAAATTATCACAAAGCCCGACACTTAATCAGCCCATATAATTCTTCAGCAGGACACAGGCCTTTCTCCCTTTAAAAAGTATTTGCTACAATGGGCATACTTGGCAGATGATTTGGCAATCGCGGTACAAGACGGATCCAAGATACCAGGTGATTATACGTGGTCGAGCAACGATACAGCTGTATTATAGCTGAAGCATAAATGGGGAAGGACCACACTCTAACAGTACACGAGCATTAAATAACAGCGTAAGGCTGCTGTGTTATGTATGATATGTGGAGAACCGTACAACCTTTCCACTGATAACGAGTCATTGCACTTTAGTCCTCAGGGCTGACAACACATCTGTTATTTTGATTCTTGATCCAGGATTGGTGCCTATGGGCTACAGCACATATTTTCCATCGGGTGTACTGTATGCTCGTTTGCCTACCCAGCTTCTTCAGTAAAGAACCCGTAGTTACTTGTGTTTCATTAAGATCGAAGGTAGAATAAGATGCATAGTCGGAAACAGGTAAAACACACGAAGACCAAAAACTTCAGGACTCGAAGCAGTCACGGAAACTGATCACTGATCCACGCATCGTAAATAAAAGAAAAAGTCGATAACAAACGTTGCCAAAGTTTTCCTTTCCAGTCTATTTGTACTGGAATCGGAATACGAAATAATGTGCAAATAAAACAAAAGCGATGTAAATTTATATGGAACACGGTAAGTTTACAATCTATCGGAACAACGAGTTTTAGGCAACTTTTTTAATTGCGGAACTGAACAGTATTATTGCCAGCGGATAGATTTTTATTGTTGTATCTTTTTTTCTGTTTTATTGCTTAATAAGAGAAAGGAATTGAAAAGATCCTAATAATGAAATGCGAATAGAATGATCGGACTTTTTGGTAAATAATTAAAGCGATAATTGTAATAAACATACATACGTAAAATCTTACGCCTATCATCCAGAAGGGTAGCAGAGGGTACATACATGACACAAGACTATCGCTTTATACACACACATACACACACACATGTATGTGTACTGTTGAGCTACGCAAAGTTCGTCTTATGTTAACTCTACTTAGCCCATCTTCAATTTATTCTATACATATAGTTACTATATTCCTATGTATATTATCGAGTTATTAGATATAAAGTTTCATTGTACATGCTCTTGAACAACGTCTCAGGAACACGGGAAGCCCTTACCCTTACCTTTTACGTTCTATGTTATTTTAAGGTTACGTATTTTCAGGATACGATATATCTGATAATATTATATAACAATTCAATAAATAATTAATTAATATTAATTGCCGTTATAGTATTAATTTTCTTTTTATTATTATTATTATTATTTTATTAGGCTAAGTAGAGATAAACATATGGGAGGTAGTTTTTTTTTCGTTCGAGTAAAACGAGTTCGAATAAACCAGAATATACGAGGGCGGCACTGAAAATTTCGGGAATCAAGGAAGTGACACAACATTATTATTTAATAATGCATTTATTGCTTTTCGAAGTATTCTCCGCGAAATTTGACACATTTTTCCATACGATGGAACCAATCATTGAAGCAACCATTCCATTCGGAAGTTGGGGTCTCCAAAATGGCCGTTTTGTAGGCGTCCACAGCTTCTTCAGGTGATGAAAATATCTGTCCACGCAATTTATTCTTTATTTTAGGGAAAGTATAGAAATCATTAGGGCTTAGGTCGGGGCTGTACGGCGGATGGTCTAATAATTCTATATTTTCTTGCTCTAAAAACTCTTTTGTTCTGTGTGCGGTGTGAGAACTCGCATTGTCGTGATGGAGGATGATGCGGCGGTTGCAGTTCTCTTTACGGAGTTCAGAAACGACCTGTGGCAAACAAATGCTAGCATACCATTCTGCATTAACCGTTCTTTGTCCCTCAAGAGGAATAGTCGTAACATGGCCGGTTTTGGAGACAAACGTGGCCATCATTTTTTTTGCAACACTCCGTGAACGAACAATTTTTGTTGGCTTTAACTCATTTTCGAACACCCAAACACGTGACTAGTTTTTTGTTTCGGGTTCGTACGCGTATATCCAGGATTCGTCACCTGATACGATGTTGTATACAGCATTTGAGGATTCTGCGTGGAATCTTTCGAGAGTTCTGACGCACCAAGTAACGCGAGCCGCTTTTTGCTCTTCACAGCGCGAATGCGGTATCCATCGGGAAAACAACTTTTTTACACCTAATTGTTCATGCAAGATTATTTGTATTTGACTCATGCCAATGTCTGAAGTTGCCTGAATTTCGCGGTATGTCACATGTCGATCTTCTTCAATCAGCTTACGCACAGCATCAACGTTTTCTTGGGTGACTGCAGTTTTTGGACGACCTTGACGGGGACCATCACTGAGCTTGACACGTCCACGTTGAAATTAAGCAAACCAGCGATAAATTGTGGTTTTGGATGGGGCTTCATCACCAAATGCAGAAATCATCCGGTCAACACACTGTTTTTGTGTTAAACCACTTCGAAAATCATAATAAATCATCGCTCTTGAATTTTCTCGAGTCAATTCCATTTTCTCAACGACTAAACAAGTTTGATAAAACCTTGTGGCAAGGATCGAGAATCTTTTTTTAAATAAATAAATGGTATTCAATTTTTAAAACCAAGTAGTTTTCAATTAAAAACTTTTTAATATGAGAGGAACAGTGGAAATATTCTATTCCCGATACTTTTAGTGCAGCCCTCGTATATAGAAGGTATTCTACACATATATCATACAAATGTAAATTTATTAATACAGACGTACACAAATACATAAATCTACTTCAATACATTAAATATATATGTATATACATTATACTATATACATAATATATACACATATATCTGTGCCATGATAAATAAGGAAAATATGTGACGATAGAATTATTCTTTAGGAAAAAGCGTTAATTCACACTTGCAAGTATGAATGAAAAAACAATGTTCACGAACTTTGTTTTTAAAAAGAAACTTGTTGGAAGCTTTTTTAAAGTCAAGACGTATTTTGTTCCAGAGTATTATAGCCGTAAGACCGAAAGAGAGGGACATATAACCAGTACGGTGTAAAGGCGTTAGCAACTTTAGATTAGAAGAAGAGAGAAGAACGGAGAAAACAAATATGAGTATCTCCTAGGTATCGAAATCTAGATTTCAGGAGCACAAGGACCGTTCAGAATAGTGAAGAGTGCAGAGTATTCTGACATATCTGCGCTGACGGATAGGTAGCCAGATAAGCTGAGTACGAAAAGATGATACATGATCACATTTACGAAGACCACAAAGGTATTGATGCATTTATTGAGGAGACGATCCAATGTGTTAAGATGCTGTAGAGATAAGTCTGTTCTACACACATCTACATAGTCTATTATCGGCACAATAAGAGATTGAATAAACAAAACTTTTGTAGCGGTAGGAAGAAAATTTTTCAGGCGATAAATAACCAGACCGGCGACAGGCATCAGCTTGAAAGATATGAGACGTCTGGTACTGGGATCGTCAATGCGCCAGCCAAGCGTAACTATTAAGACAAATTTTACCTACAGCGGGAGAGGTAGGGATGGGCAAGGGAAAAATCGATCGATCGATCGTATCGATATATATCGCTTGATAAATATCGATATATCGATAAATCGTCATCATTTGCAGGATGTAAAGATAAGGTCCAAAATTTTATAATACTGAGAGTTGGCAGATAGCTGAAGTTATAAGGAGTAAATTAGGCTACTTCTATTTTAGAAAAAGAATTAGGGTTCCGCGCAACATAATTAAAACCATAAATTACACGTGGCCAAACTCGCGGGGAACAGCTAATTTATCTATAAAACTTGTAGTTTTTTTTTGTTATATTTTTAGTTCGTTATACGGTTACCTTACCTTCTCATTGATGATGCAATCCAGATCCTCCTGACTGGGTGAACCGAGTACGCCAAGGATGTGGTTCAGCTGGTCGAGGTAATGTTTGCCGGGGAATATAGGCCGGTTGGACAACATCTCCGCTAGGATGCAGCCCACCGACCAAATGTCGATTGACTTGGTGTACCCCTGCACAAGCATACGCATCGTTCAGTGTTTCATCCTATGTAGGTGTCGCATCATATTCGTTTTCTTAAGACAAAGTTCTTTACAAAATTACGGAATCAGGCAATTTCTTAAAAAAAATTGCCCATCCGCACTTCGCTGGGCTCGGTTGGTGACCGCGAAGTTGATACTTTCACACTAGCAATGTCTCATCATCGACCCCTAGGATTTAATTGCAGAGTTTGGACTTTGGATGGATTCAACGGCTAACGTTTCTCAGAGCCTTGTTCGAGACGACAGGGTGTTGTTTAATTATGAGAAAAATCGCATAATTCCACTTATATCTAATGACTTATCACAAGTTAAATTAACAAATTTGTCTATTTTTAATTTTGTAGGTCACTTACAAAAGGCAGTTCTTAATACAAATGTGTTTTTTTTTGTATAGTATGATCTTCGTCAATTGTGAACCGATTATAGTGTTTCTTTTTTTTAATAGGTTAGAAAATAGGAGTCGAATGGTTTAATGTAAATGTTTAGATGACTTTCTAGTTGTTACTTTGAAAATTCCTAAGTCCACTAAAAACAACCAAAAATTAAATTTTTCAATAATAATGAAAAATCAACGATCATAAAAGCTTCAAAGAACTTAGAAAATAAAATAATTTCCATATAATTGCTTCTGAAGGCAATTATATGGAAATTATTTTCTATAAAACAAATTTATCTTCTGAAGGCGGGGCTTTGACTCTTAAAAACTCAATATTTTATTCATTTTAGTTCTTTGAAATCGACTTTTACTTTTTATTATGACCTTTTTATATTATTATGCCAGGTTTAAAATACACCTAGGCAATAGTAAGTTATGTCAAAAGTGTGAGAACTCAAGTACTTTGGCGGAGGCCCGTCACCGGCAATGGACTATCAGTGAGCTAGTGTAAACAGGTTTTTCTTAAAAATATTGTTATTATACTGTTTTAGTATAAAATCGCTTTTATTTCACACATCTCATTATATTACTATCCTTAATACCTTGGAATTGAGCATGATCTCCGGCGCCCTGTACCAGCGAGTGGCGACGTACTCCGTGAGGAAGCCGGTGTGGTCGTGATCCGGGTCCGCGACCCGTGCGAGACCGAAGTCGCAAATCTAAATAGATGGAAATATTATTTAACTAAGACTGTACATGCATAAGGAAACATGACAAAGTCAAAAATTTAATTTAAGGAATCTTAAACACAATATGAAACAAAAAAAATGTGGATTATTTTAATTATCATACAATATAGAAAGAGGTATGTAAGGATCGTGACACTTGGCGATCTGTTCTCTCTGGCTACCCCGTCAGGGATTGTGCGTGAAGATAAGTAAGTAAGTATCATACAATATAAGAGAACATTTCCGAATAAATTTTACACTTCATTTAAACATCCAATTGCAGCCTATATACGTCCCGCTGCTGGGCACAAGCCTCCTCTCATTTCTGAAAGGGTTTTAGGGCAAAGAAATGTCCGCCGCGCTGCCCCAATGCGTGTTGGCGAACTTCACATGTCTTCGAGATATATTTTTTTTATTTCTCACACATGCAGGTTTCCTCACGATGTTTTCCTTCACCGCCAAGCACGTGGTAAATCACTTGGCACTAAAAATTGCAATTAACAATTTCATTGGCGCCGGCGGGATCGAACCCGGGTTGCTCGCGTACTGTGAAACTTACAGCGAGCGCTAACCATCTGAGCTACCACGACTCTCCTACTAAACATCAAATAGTACGTGAAAAAAAAAATGTATTGGAATATTATGTCACTCATTACGAATATTTTTGCTTTGAAGAATTACTCCCACAGAAAACCAGAATAAAATGACACCATATTTTTTATTATAAAACTAACGTGACTAATAAATTTAAAGTCTACCTGATGATAAAATGCTACTGCAGTCGATGGAGACCTGCAATCACCTTCAAACAAAGAAGGCTCAGAAGCGTTGTTACCTCTGGATTCTAAGACGGAATATCTCAAAGCCTGTAATTGTACTGGCCCTCTCTATACCCTTCAGACTAGTAGCCTGCCTAGTAGCAGTATCATTGCAAGCACTGAGATGAACTCCTAGGCCTAGGTGCTCCTACAGCATAGTAAATAGTTTTTCATATTTTTATACTATAAGGGTCACAAACGAGCACACAGTCCACCTTATGGTAAGTAGATGCTGTAGCACATCTACATTTATCCTCGATTAAGAATAAATATACAGATGCGTTGTCACCCCTGAAAACTGAGATGGAATACTAAAAAGGGTCTCCTGTTCTCTACACTCACCATTCGAAACACAGCAGCATGAAGCCGCTATTTTACGCTGGTATTCTGTAAGAGTGTGGTCTTACCCCGATCGAGCCGACCCATTCGTGCTACAACCATGATATAGCTGCAACATGGCTCTGCCACGTAGAGCATATGATGAGAGACTAGAACTGGAAACCTTTTTAACTGGTCATGAGTAGATACTAGAAGATATGCGAAGTCCAATGCACAAAAAACTCTCTCAGAAATGAGAGGCTAGTGGCCAGCGGTGGGATCTGTAATTACTTACATACACACATATAATCGCGCCTCTTTCCCGTAGGGGTAGGCAGAGACCACTTCTTTCCACTTGCTGACCTGGCCTTTTTGGTAATTACTTTCTACTTAAAAATATCTTTCTACGTAAAATCACTTGCTACTATTTACGATTATGTTTAATACTCTTATATTATTAAATAATCAACGTTATTACCACTAAAGATTCGTTCTGTTGAAGTAAATACGCCGCACGGAATGAGGAAAGCGAGTAGCAGAATCAACAAAGCTTCGAGATAATTAAGTGCTTACCACGTTTCGATTTAATTGTGACAAAATAATGTATACATACATATATAATACATATAAATAAAATTGAAGTGTCTGTCTATTACATTGAAATAATTCTTCTATTAAGCTGAGAGGGTTGTTTGCATGCTGTTAGGACATAAATAACCAATCTCCACGTCTGTCCGGGCTACTTCGAAATGGTTGAACTGATTGCGATGAAACTTTACGAACAGATAGAGACCAATGTGATAAGAAGTCTAGGAAAAACTTGAAGAATTTATTTTGAAAAAAAAAACAACGAAAAATTAAGAGAAATTTAGAAAAAACATTTTTTTTTAAATTAATAAATTAAGTGGTCTTTGATTATCGTAAATCTTAATCTAGATCTACACCACTTTAATAGATCTAATCAGAGCGAAGCCTGGGCAGGCCGCTTGTTTTACAATAAAAACACTTAACATATATCCCATTTACGTGTATTGTAAATAAGTAATCAGTAAATTTCACTTACTACAACTTCAACATTTCTATAGAAGTTTGTTTACGCAATCGATAGGAGGGAGACGCTCATCTCATCCCGTGAGGGATTTGCTTCAGTTTGAACAAGCCTTTATTACTAGTAGCCTATACAAAGTAAGGTTTATTCTATAACTTAAGCAAAAAATTGTGTTTGCCATATAAAAGAAAAAAAATGTATATAAACTGCAAACGTTACCTTTAAATCACAGGTGGTATTAAGTAGTAGGTTCGAAGGTTTGAGATCCCTATGCAGTACATTAGCGGAGTGGATGTATTTCAATCCTCGCAGGATTTGGTAGAGGAAGTAGCAGATATGATCGTTGCTTAGTTTCTGTAAAAAAAAGTCACTTTTAAAGGGATAGCACTCACGTTGTTGTTATGATTTTATGAACATGTATGTGTGTATGTCAATTTCATAATTTTATAGTTACTATCACTTGGTGTTAGACATGTGACAATTGCGTCAACTCAGTTCTCTGCGCCGGATGTGTTAACTCACTTCTTCAAAATGTATTAGCGCACAGCGCAGGGCCAGGAAAGTTGACCACAGAATGCAAAGGAGTGTTATTGAACACTTGTGGTATTGCATTTGTTATTATTTTTATATAAACTGCAACTTCGTGAAATGTAAAGGGTCTGATATTGCTATGTGATCTTTCTTTTCTACATTTTATTTTACTTAAGGTTTTATTATCACAGATGGCTCAGTTGACAGATGTGTGTAAAATTTGTTACACCATAGCGCAATTTCGAGTTAACTGCGCCTGAGTTAATGAGTTAGCGCAAGGAATTTCACTGAGTTGCCCATATCTACTTGATGTGATGTTGCGTTTTTTAAACAAAAACCTTTAATTGAAGAAATAAGTATCTCATGTTTTGCGCACGATTAATTTTGGACCGTGTCAGCATAAACATAGAGCCGATTATTTGTTTGAAAATATGGCATAGTATTTGATAAAATCGTGAATAAGATGTTTCGGACGCAACTTGTCTCTTACAGTAATTAAGGAGACAAGTTACTCAACTAAGACAGGGTAACTGAGAAAAAAAACACCAAATTTCGACTGAAACTTCTTTTTATCCTGCCCTTCCACTTCACTCTTTAAACTGGAACATACGACTTTTCACCGTAGTTAATAAGAGAATACCGTAAGTACCCACATCAACTTAATGGTAAGAAAGGAGTCCCACCACACTAGCCCTATCATAGACCTAGTCCTAGCATAGCGCACGCTTTCCTGTCACGAAAACGTCTGTGAAACGACAATCAATTGGATTTTGTTAATTCAGGAATGGCCTCTACTCAGCAATAAACTCTTTAAGGCCCAAACGAAAACTTGTATTATAGTTAAGTCAAGGAAATATTGAACTCTTTTTTTATATTTCAAGCCAGTTTTTTACTATAGTTTATCGTAACGAGCTTATAAAAGTAACTTATTACTAATAAATACGAACACATTTGATTAAATTGTAAAATTACTAATTGAAATACAATAATTGAATAATTATTGTTACCTGAGTTTTTAAGAGTTTGTAAAGGTCAGTTTCCATTAAACACTGAACGATATACACGTCCTTCATTTGATCAATAGAGTCTGCTCTTAAAATATCCCGAATATCGATAATCTGGAACAAAACACGAAGAAATAAAAACCACGCTCACGATAAGAATGTTTTGTTGTTCCCAGATTAGAAAACACCACCCCATTGTTATCACTCACAACTTTCTATGGCTTTAATGAAAAAAAATAAGGAAACAATATTTGTATTATTAGAAAAAGATAAATTATATTACAAAACTTCGACTTCAACAAAATTTTCCATTATGTACTGTTTGTTTGTATTCCGATTTTATTATTGTTATTTATATTATATTTATCCTGATTATAATAAAAGTAAGAAATAATTAATAAGGCAATAAAAGATGTCTTACGTTCTCATGCTTAAATCGGGTGAGGATTTTTATCTCACGGAGCGTCCTCTGGCAATACGTCTGGTGTTCGAACGGCGAAATTTTCTTTATAGCGACTTTTGTAACTTTCACGTTGTCGAAGGCCGACCTGCGGGAGATAGAACAACATGAATCATGTGACCTGCCGTAAATATTACAAGTAGTATTTAAGTGCATTTACAACACCTATGTAGTCACCATGTGGGACCGTGTAGTGGCAGTGTAAGAATATCCACAACTCTAATCATCCCGTGGCTGTCGCAAGAAGCGACAGAAGGAAACAAATCAGGATATGGGCAGAAGCGTATTCCTAATAACTACTAAAAATAAAAAACTGCGGTTGCCAATCTGCTTGCCTACCTTAGCAACTATGGCAAGTAACTAGAAGGGGATGCCTATGTTCAGCAGTGGACTTCAATATGCTGTATTGGTAACAACACCTATGTATGCTTGTTCATCTCTCTCCCAAATTCGCACTAGACATTGCGCTCTGACAGTCTGGTATATTGTATATTTTTTGACAATTATTGTGATGGTTATTTCACCGTTTGTCGGATACCAAACAATTATTTTGCCACAAGAGTGTTGATCTCGCACGCAGATATATAGACAATTTCATATATATATGTATGTATGTATATGTGTACTAAAACTAGATCCATGTCCGGGAAAAAAATACAAAAACCCCCATATCATCCCGTGGGTGTCGTAAGAGGCGACAGACAGATGGAAACAGGAGATGGGCAGCAGCATCTTCTTGATATCAAATTAAAATAATATTAAATCATGGCAAATATCCACCTTATGAACTATCAATAGAAAAGACATGAATAATAATGACGACATCAATGAAACACAAACTAGTAATACCAGATACTCGACTCGGGTCAGTAATTCATTAATTGAGCAATGTATATGCGCTATTACAAACAAGTACCCAGAAAATATAAAAGGTCTCTATTACATACTATTACAAAGTTATTTTATTACGTGAATGGTTACAATAACAAAAGAATCAGTGTACAAAAATAAGTTATTTTTACATCTCATCTTCAACAAGAATGAAATTGTCGATCGTTGAAATCTCTTACCTTTATTAAAAAAAAAGACAGGAGAAAAAAATCTTTTTTTTCAGTCATTTTATAAATTTTATCATCAGAATCAGACTTATCAACAGGCAATATAACATTAACTTTGGGGATCAAACCATTACACGTAGACAACTAATCTCCTTCTATTATGCCGTCAAAAAATGATTGAATAGCATGAAAATGGTAAAGAAAGAAGTAAAAAATTAGACAGCATTAACCTATATTCCATAATATCACTACGAGTAAATCGTAGACACACAGAGTAATAAGCTTATTTTTGTCAACAATAATAAGAACCTCTTTTTTTATCGATATAAAAAAATCAAATTTCATTTTCCAAATGTATTTTTTTTTAATTTAATATCATTTCATACTGTGGTTCTTCGGGCAGAATAGAATTATCGCGAAACCCATCGCAAGTATCCTCTCTCTATCAAATGTTTACTAAATGTAAATTGTTGTAGCTAATCTTTAACTGTTTAAATTCACCGTTATAACTAACATTAAAGACATTTAGTGTTAAAGTCGTAGTGCTATTTTAAGTGTTAATGAAATGAAATGAAATAAAATTAATAATTTAAAAAATTGAAGTAAGACAAACATTTTAACCGTCTTCAAAAAAAGGACGAGGTACTCATTTCGACTGTATGTGTATCTGTGTATGTGTGTTACATCAGAACTTTTTCCTAGGTGAACCGATTTTGAAATTCTTTTTTTATTTCATAGCTGTTGCTTACCAAGTGGTCCCATATACAATATAATTAAGATCTGACCGGTAGTTTTTGAATTATTCTCAATAATAATTATAATAGTATATAATTGACTTCGGCTTTAATTGAGTCAATTGTACGAACTTTATAATTTTACCACGTGTTATCACGTTAAATCACAAGTAGCTAGCCACTTGATCATAAGTGACTAATATAAGCGTGGAAACTTGCTTATAAAGAAGCCTATGAAATGCGCTGTCAAATCTATGGACTAAAATAGTATGGCGCACCGCCTCTAATTATACTGCCTCTCCGTACCCTTTCATTCGGAGCGCTGTTTGGCAATAGGAATAAAAGAGTACTTCTGGATACATTGCACAGTTTTTCTTTACAGAAATATCTCTACAATTACATTGCATTACTTTACTTTAACGAAAAAATATCTTATCACGTAGCTTACATGAAGATTTTCGCCGTATTTATATGTATTACTTAGTACTTACTTATAAATTAGTTGTATGAAATTTTAGAAAATAATAACATGTATTCGCGATACAAAAGTTATAAAAGTTTACATAGTATAATGTTTGTATAATATAGTTTATATATAAATAAAAAAAAAGTTATATAATCACCCAAATATATATTTCCAGTAAGACGTGGTTAAAAAGTGTTGGTTACATACTTATTAAATAATAATAATTTGTTAAATAAAATGATAATAATTAGTTACACATTTTAAGTAATTAGAAATGACATTTAATTTTGCCGTACGGTGGCGGTGTAAGATACGACCGAGGGAAACAAGCCAGGAGACGGGCAGCGGCGTCTTCCTATTAAATCAACTCTGACTAGAATAAAAAAAAACTGCGGCTGCAAACCCGCCTGCCAAGCGTGACAAGTATGGTAATTATGCCCCATAATAAGCAACCTTAAGGGAAGGCATATTTTAACAGTACACTTTGATAGGCTGTGGTGTGGTGTGAAAATAATATCAATTTCTTGGGTTCATTTGAATAAATAATTTCTTTGGATTGAGGAAAAAGTGGAAGGATAACGATGATAAATTATAGACCGACTAGCCCCTTTATGAACACGAGAATATCGTAATTCTTATTTTACGTAATGCGATCGTTACAGTTATAAATGTTCCCTCCACAATATCCAACATTAATTGATTGCTTTTCTTCTTTCATATAATATATTACTGGGAAATAAATTTTGGGCGAACCCGTCATAAATTCTAACTCAATATCGCAAGTCAATTTCACTCAAACGATAATGTTACAATATGGTAATGCTAAAAGAACTCACTGGGCCTTCTCTAATTTTAAACGGAGGAAATTTTAATTTTGGACGAATATCACTCCGAGATCGGGCCTCCCATGCTTGCAAAATACATTATACATAACATAACAAACAAACATATTAGCGTCAATTTATGATGTAAGCCGGGAATGGAATGAGGAGACAGTAGCCTAACGACTAAGCATACAAACTGCAAACTTTAAGTCATGAGTTCGAATCTCATCATTACAGCCCTTCACAAGTACACTGCTGAACATAGGCCTCCCCCAAGGAATGCCACAAAGCACGGTCCTGAACCACCTGCATCCATCGACTTCCTGCATATCTTACCAGGTCGTCACTGCATCTAGTGGGGGGATATGAAGCTGCAGTCTTCAGTAGATTTACTGAAGACTGCAGCTTCATATCCCGTCTAACAGCCATGAGATTAAGAGTGTAATCGGAGAGTTTTTGTGTTCTTCTGCGGCGGGTCTTGCAAAACTTAGCTCCGACCGCATGGACAGTTTCCACGAGCTTGTCATTCATATGGTCCACTGCATTGCAATCTTCTAGGCACTGAAAATGGTTTCGTAGCTCGAGCTGAAAGGTTTTGAGACTTTGGATTAGAGCACGAGGGGGACGAAGCGTTGACTTCATTAGACGTGACCTCTCCAACTTAACGTTTAGGTTCAGTATGCCTCTCACCATTCGGTGATCGCTGCCGGTTTTCACCCTCGCGATTACTGAGAAATCACTGAACAGTTGTCATCTGGTCGTCATAATGAAGTCAACCTCATTTTTTGTCGAACCGTCGGGGCTCGACCAGGTCCACTTCCTGTGGGGCCGCTGCTGGAAGAAAGAGTTCATCATAAAGAGTCCCTCTTTCTCCATGAAGTCGGCCAGCTGCTGGCCCTTTCGGTTCTGTTGCCCTATTCCAAATTTCCATACTTTCAGCTCACCGTTCTCTCTTGTGCCTAGTTTTGCGTTGAAGTCTCCCATTAACACCGTATAGTGGGTTTTGGAGGAATGCATGGCTCTAGAGATATCCTCATACATTTCTTCCACCTCCTCATCGGGGTGTACCGAGGTTGGTGCGTAAGCCTGTATGACCTTCGAGTTCAAATCTGCCATTCAACTATTGCCGCGAACCATACTTGGCACAAGTGCTTTAAGTTTACTTTAAGCATCCTTGCTATGTCTTTGTGATTGCAAATTGAAAATTGTAAATTTAATGAAATATTATTGAAGCTTCTGGTTTCAAAACTATAGTCTTTCTCTACAAGCTCCTCTAAAAACGCTATCAAACAGATCCGCTTAGTACAAAGCTGGAGGGAAAACTTCCTGCAATACTGATTTCAGGTAAAAGAAAAAGTTTTACTTAGAGACCCGTTCTTCAGATGGTCCTCTATAAATTTCTTATTATTTTAAAGCTGAACAAATTTTGAAGCAGGAAAATATAACGTTTAAAACGAAATGAAACTCTTAATTACTTACAAATAGTACCTAATAGGATCTTAATCTTATCTCATTGTTTCACACAATTAAGTCACAGATAAGTCTTAGATGTTTTATTATTCTAACGATATCTTTAGAATCTTTATGATTGAGTATTCCTTTTTAATTCATATAAACACTGTTGTTTATGTTCAAATAATGCGTGTAATAGTTTATTGCATTGACTGTTTAATAAGTTATTTTTGTTCAGTGTATTTTTTTATTAAAAGATTTACAAAATAATTGAAATTCTATTCATCTACGAATATAATGAAACCTGGTTCCTTATATCTTCAATTCTTCCAAAAAACATTTCTTAATACGAACGTAATAAAGGGCAGACGAGATTTAATGAGATTCTGCTTTATTTTTCTCAAACCCGTCCCGCATTTATATTGTTCGCATTCGAAAGTTGCAACTATTGTCACATATAGTTACATTACATTAAATTAAGAGCCTTTTATAGTTTTAATTATAAAATGCATGATAAAGTTCGCATAGTAAAAATGGTAAGACATTAGACACTA